CAATAATAGTTGGGCATGTCGCGTTGTATGTTAATAGCGTGTATTGATGTCAGCCTCTTTGTATTATTCATTCTTAGAATATAGATTTATAATAATCTCATACGACAAGATTAAGTATTTATAGGATAAATACGACAATACCGTTGATTTCAACATTCTATAAATGTAAATAGATATAGATTGAGTCAAGTTGCTTAAAACAAAAAGAGATTGAGTTGCATACCTTTGGCGCGTTTTGGGAAGTTTCAGAAGCTAATCTTTGCTTCAGCAACTGCTTTTCTTTTTTTTTTTTTTTTTACTGTCTTTTGTTCTATTATTGACTCCATATCATAAGCTATAAATAGCTCTTCGGTCTTTTTTCGTCTCTTATTTGAAGCAGCAATCTTCGATTCAATGGTATTCTATATAATTGTAACCATTAATTAGTAAAAGCATAAGATCTAAAATAACCAATCTATTAAAGGAATCTCACCAAATCATCGTCATTTTCTTTTTCGCTATTGTTTTCTTCCTTTCGTTTCGACATGGTGACAATATTATAAATACTAAAAGTGAGGAAGAAGAAGATGCGATATACATACAAAATCAGCTTTACGATGATTTGTTTAAATAAATTCAACCTATAGAAGCCGATTATCAATTCTGTTAAACTTCGATTAAAGACGCAATTTATATATATATATATATTTTTTACTCTTTCAAGAAAATATTTCTTTGAGCTACATTGCCTCTGCCATGCTTTAATCCGGTTTTCAAACAATGATTTCTTGATGATGGTGAGCATTGTATTACGTAAATGATTATTTAGTTGCGACTTTGAGATAGTGAAGCCTTCAAATTGTTCAGTCAAGCTTTTCATAATATCATCCGAAAATAGTTGAGGATCATTATCTAATAAACCCTGTAGATACTCGTTATGTTTAATAGTGAACGAGCTTTTAGGGTCATTGTTTTCTTTGAATTTCTTATATGGGATCTCCTCTGTTTCTTTATAACTATTCCACCCTCTTAACGCAGCGCGATAATTGATATTTAGGTCTTTTGCAACCTTAACCACCAATCCACGTTCTTCAGACTTTTCAATCATACGATCTATAAACGTCTCTCTGGTAAAGTCGCTATAGTTTTTGTATGATCTATCCAAATCTGGTAGTTCAGTCTTCGGTTGCTTTTTAGGAGAAGACTCTTCAACAGTTTTCTCCGGGCGTATAATACTTAAATAGGTTTTCTGGCTAGTAATTGTTTCAAGAATTACATTCGGATTATCAATTTGTGTAAGAACATCCTCCATCGGATCGTGAACGATTTCTCCTTGCTCATTATAAATGTTGTCTTGTCCATCTTCATCAAAAATGTACTCATTGTTAGAAAATGTTTTTAGTAGAAGAAAAAAAATAACAAAATTCAGTTAAGAAAAGGAACAATATTGTAAGTTAGCCGCCTAATTTAATTACTTGGCATGGACAAATATTCTTAGCCAAAATGACAAAAAGAATCGAGCTTGTGATATTTATTTCTCAATTTCCGCCAATCATTTTTATGAAAGTGACAATTATTTTTGTGAAAACGTCAATTTCCATAGGTTTGACTGTACCAAGTTTTTGCTTTAGATTATTGATCTCGCTGTTGTAAAAGATGACTCGAATCACCCACTGTATTTTTGACATGGTAAATTCTGCACACACAAGTAGCAATTAGTAAAATTTTAATATGAATCAGGATGGGTTGTTGCTTGATACAGAGCGTGTATACACAGAAGTGACTCAACAAATTTTGGACAAATATGCTAATGGAGTCAAGTTTACATGGGACGTCAAGAGCAAATTAATGGGAAAGACTGGTGATGAAGTAAGTAACATAAGAAGAATACTTTCTTTAACCTTATGCTTTATATCAAGTCAGCAGCCATGGTTGTGAAAACCTATAATCTGCCAATGACCACACAAGAGTATCTAAAGATTACTTCTATAATCCAAGAGGATCTTTTCCCTCATGCCAAAGTTTTGCCAGGCGTAGAAAGGCTGATTAGACATCTTCACGCGCATAAGATTCCTATAGCTGTTGCTACATCCTCTACTCGTTCAAAGTTCGAGTTAAAAACATCTTTGAACAAGGAGCTTTTTGAGATGTTTGATGCCATTATATGCGGTGATGATGCTGAAATTAAGAATGGTAAACCAGCTCCTGATTTGTTCTTGGCTGCACAGAGGCGTCTAGGTAATCCTCCTGCAGAGAACTGTCTAGTATTTGAAGACGCCGTTAATGGTGTTCAAGCTGCTATAAATGCCAAAATGAATGTAAGCGTGCTATAGAGAGAGAGAAAGAGAGAGAGAGAGAGAAGGTTAACCCGATATATAATTTGCAGGTGGTTTGGATTCCAGATGAGAATATAAGAAAATTGGCAGGCGATGAGCACGGTGCTACAATTGTACTAGACTCTATGGAAGATTTTATACCTGAACTATTCTTTTTACCTGCCTTTGAAGTCAAAATATAAACCGCACCTAAAGTTTATGCTGATTAAAAGAACAGTAATACACGGTTACATTATATAGCTTGAAACTTCTCTCTCTTTCTTCTTTGATTTCTTGTAAGCTGCAGTAGAATATACAACTACAGCTTCTTTTGAAAAAGTATCTTATGTGTGGTTTTAATACAATTTAAAGTAAGAGGTTTGCGCAAGCCATACTTTGTTGCTCCCATCAAGTGTAAACCAAGGCTTATAACGTTCGAAACACCTTCTGAAGAGAGCATCCGACAATTAGTCGATCTCTTCTGACTGCTAAGAGCAAGTCTCAGTTAAATTGTTTCTCAATATGCCGCCATGTTTGACTTGTTTATCTCTTATTAGACTTTAGTGCTTGAGACAAACCAAGCCATGGATAGCTTGAGGTTGTCTCATGTTGAAAACATGAAAATCAAGACAAGAGACTTAGAAGAAAGTAGTGAGATTACTGATCTACGTAGCTTTTTCAAACTAAATGCCGACATAAAGCTTCCTCAAACCTATATCAGATAGTCGAAGCGAATTCAAATGCATAGCTCATCCCTGATTCCTTACGACGATGACTTTTAGATGGATGTTTTTATTTTAATAAAGTTACTTTCCCTTCTTTGCGAAATAAAGTGATATAAAACTGTTTTCAAAAAACTACGAACTTACTATTTTATATTAAGTAAGTGAATCAGGTGGTGGCTTCTAGAATTAGCCGTAAGAATATCAAAGATATCTATTTACTACAAAAATGCGCCCACTAATAATTGCAAAGGCAAGTATTAGCATCTTGCACATTCCTTGCGTACTAGATCAACGCTTACTCATTCCAGTAATCTTCCTATCGGTATTGATAGTTTATGGTCGTTTATTATGATGCCCCCTTAGAATCATATTTGCATATAACAATAGCTTCTTCATACGCTTTTTATGATTGTTAGTAGCCTTAGAACAACTGGCCCTTTGAGAGCATGCAGGCTGCCTTTCGAAAATCATTTTTCCTCTTGTAATATTCAGCAACTAGAGAATCCTTGCATCTAGTTTTTATAATTTTATCTTTGGTACTTGGATCGTCATGTTCCGAGTGTCAAGCTGAAAACCCAGAAAAGATTGAACCTTGTTTGGTGCTCGAGTATTCTTTTTCTTTGCTGGTAAGAAACTTCAATTACTCTAGACGCTGTTTCATTCTCTATGAATTGTTCATTGTTTGTTTCCTCTTGTTATGGCTAGGATGCAAATGTCGTCTAAATAGAATACAAAGCAAAGAGCATATCTCATAGAAAAAATCTTCGGAGCCATATTCAAACCAAATACGAGAGGTCTTTATTAGTAAACTATTCTCTGATGCAAAAAGGCCAAAAAGTCTCTGGGGATTCCTTTGAATAGGTACAGCCAAATACGAGCCCTTTATATAGACCTTGCATATATAGTCGTCTTTCTCAATGATTTCTCTCAGAGCAGGAACATTTTCCATTTTGAGATGTTGTCATTGAATGTACTATAGTAGCGTCAATGGTTTCTTTATTCATAAAAGTGAATTAAAAGAAAAAGTTTTTAGCAGCTTTTCTTCTTTCAGTTTAGCTTTTATTAAGCATGCTTAGCTTGAATAGTAAAGTAACAGTAGCAGATCGCAAGGAGTTGAACTTTTTTAGCGAAAACAATCTGTCTTACTGGACTCTTGAAAAATATAAAGAATATCGTCGAAGCAAAAGCCGCGACTCAATCAAGGATAATAAGCTCTACAGGTAATATAGGGAGGTACTTCATCTCATCGTTGCTACTACAAATGACATCGATATCAAGAATTACGCAGAAAGCTTAATAGAGTGATCCAAGCAAAAGATACAGCTAGCTATTCTTCTTGGAAAGAGAATAGCAAAAGGGGCCAACGTTGCCATAAATAGGAGAAAGGCAAGTACAAGGCTATTATCAGCAATTATGATTATGGAAATACCTATGTGATAGAAAGAAGTGGTTCGATCTCAATTGGACCAAGTAAAAAAAGAAAAATTAGTCATAAGAGCCCTGGAGAAAGTGTATGTATAAGACAATTAGAAATATTCGCATACGTATCTAATCGGGTCTTATTTTTGACACCAGAGTGAAGAAAGTATTGTCGTCGTCGAAGAAGTAAAATTAAATCTATGAGAGCTCTGGGCAAAAGTTCTGATGAAGATGAAGGATGAAGATATTCACGAATACAGGTATGAAAAGCAACTTGGGATGTATTCAAAGGGTATTATATTTACCTTAAATCTACAGTCTGGAAAAACTGATTATCATTCAAATTGGAAATAATATAGGTTCTGATACTACTCGAAAATATTATCCTAAAAATTTAGTACAGAAGATAATCAAAAATACACAACCAGCTGCCTTGTTGACAGAGGGCCCTGAGCTTTACAACCATATTCTTGATCTGGTAAGTAAAGACTTTCAACTATACAACATCCTGTGCTGAACATAAGCATCACACTTTTAGCTTGTTTCCGATAATCCTGATTTTTAGCATGCTCTAGCAAGTACGGCATCACGCCTGTACTCAGCAGATCTCGTCAAGAGATTTTTCACTAATGTTCTACATTCCTTGTAAGTGTTAAATCATCAAGCAAGTGCCAAGGCAGTTATCTAACTCTTTCAATCTATAGAATCCATGGGATTTTTGTTGATGACAGCGATGTTTGTAGTCTAGAGATTTGCTATAATCATCTGATTTTGTGGCAAATTCTGGAAGCTATTTCCAAATCAAGTGAAGGCGTAAAGTTCACAGCTAGAGGGATTTGTTTAGAAGCAATATCTCAAGAACTGAAGCTGATGAACAACGATATTAGTCAGTTCTATAATGCAGATGGTACCTTGTGAAATAAGAATCACAACTTAGAGATAGCAATCCTCGAGACAACAGGCCCCTTCCAGAAGTATAACGCGCCAAAGGAGACGCAAGGCTACATAAAGCCTGGTTATGGTCTCGTAGTCATGTTGCATGTGATTGGTAGAAAGTACCAATATGGCAGTTTTGATATCTTCAAACAAATTGGTGTTTTCTTTGTGCTGGCCACGCGTAAGCATGCTATTTGTTATAATGTAATAAATAGACTAACACTGCTTACATCTTCTCTTTAGCTACCAAACTGAGAATTTGGCGTATGCATATGCCTTCAAAAAAAATGTACGTTTCAATATGTATAGGTTCGGTTGGTATGCCAACACACGCTCAGAGCTGATTTCCATCTTCCGGAAGACTAGTCCCGTAAATTTATTATGAAGGTTACCAAAAGCTTCTATTGATTTCTAGTATTCCATATTCACTGCAGCATTCCCGACGATTCCAATATCTTTAGCAGTCATCCTCTTTCTCACCATTCTAGAATATGGCACATTTGTCATCAGGAAATTGCTACGCAAGTGCCGTATCAGAACATGATTTACGCTTATTGGAACTAAAGATATCAGCCTTACAATAATAGAGACTAGTGCATAGCATCATCTCTTGATTCAAATGTCACAGTAAAACTAGGATGCCCTTAATTAAGCTACTTTGCCTCAGAGCGACCATTAAACTCACGTCAACTATAATCTCACAGAAAACTTGAAAAGTATAAATAAAAACTATTCTTTATCAATAAAAGAAGGATAGTACTACGGGCACTGCAAAATCCAAAAAAGGTAATACCCCAAACTGCAAATGTACTTTTGAAAGGAAAACTGAAGGATGTTCAAGTGAAATGCATTATACAATTCGATTTATACTTGAATGCTACAACACAAAGTGGCATATAATTTATATAGTATGCTTTTAACAATAGCTTTCTTTATGCCTTACCACTCTTTACGGGTTTTATATCAACAATCATAGCTTATAGTAATGCATTGAATATATTCATACTTTGCTCATAACATGTTGACTATTTTGCTTTTAAAAAGTAAGACCGTATAACATTTATATATGGTCTCTCTTTTACCTGACAAGTTTGAATAGATATTTTTATAGACCTTTTCTCAAAGCTTCTTTCAAGATATGGGACAACAAATTCAATGGATTAGGAAATTACAAAAGTGGTTATATTTTGTAAGGGTTTTTGTCATTGTTTGGCGTCAGGCCATACACTACATAGAAAAGTTGAATCAAAGCCTATTGTAGCTTTCTTTTGCTTCTCTCTCGTATCATTCAGCATTTTACTACAAGAATGATGTTAAGCTGGTCTTAATTTTTTCTGCTAGACGTACTTACAGTAACAACCATATTCAACACAAACATCTTACAACTGACCTTGTATGTAGAATGACTTATTATGATCGCTGCCAAATCAATAGAATCGTACCACTCGCTCATAGCACTATATCTTGTGTCATAAAACAAAGCTTTTATATACTCTAACTTTGCCCTCAATCTGTTGACATTAGCTGCCCAGTAATCGAGTATTTTATTATAATATTTAAGGGGAACATTTCCTTTTTGGATTTTGCAGTGCCCCTAGTATTACCTTATATTAAAATCTCTGTAGTGATGTCTTAATAATGCTTTTGACGCCTAGTGTTTTTTTTTTTTTTTTTTTTTTTTTTTTTTTTTTTTTTTTTTGATCGTCTCCTTTTAGGTTAAAATAATGTATTCTCTTCGTCTAACATGTAGTATGTATTCAGATTACAGATGATAAAAATATACCAAAAAAGGATCATCTTAACCTTGAATACATCCCCTCTATTGCACTTATCTCAGTTACTTAAGCTATCAAACGGTGCAGCATGCGTAAGTTCTAATTTTCTAAACGCTAGAAAAGGATCCTTTAACTCATAATGACCAGTTCGTTCGCTGTGTTCTCTGCATTTGAGAAGCAATGTGAACTTTTATGGGCAATGGATTTGCTAAAGTACCGACACTCTACCAAGAGAATGTAGTACAACGTTACCACGTATTTTTTCTGAAAATGTGGCTAAATTGATTTAGAATATACATTTGATTACACTTACAAAAGAAAATTCTCAATAGGCAACTTTAACAGTGTACGCGTCATCCCTCCAAGCAGGATTAACTCGTCTCCTTTTTATTCAAGCGACTTAGTCTTGATCTAGATGAGTCAGAATATGAGAACACAATAGTTTATATCTAAGATCACCACTTTGACAGTGTATCCAAAAGAAGAACGTACCTGTTTGATCCTAGTGTAACACATTTTTATGATGAAGATCACACGCAAAATCGTTGTCCATTAACGTTAATCGTAATATAGCTGTATATAGAGGCTCAAATTCTCTCATTTTGACAACTGTTGATAAGAGCAACAGATTCAAGTAGTCATAGCAACCGTTTAAGAAAGAAAAAGAAAAAGAAAACAAGAAACAGTGTTTGTCCTTGAAATGCCAGCCAGAAAGTGACTTCTAGACCAATCAAAGATGAACTGTTTCATTTTTGGGAAAGAAGCATCAATGTGGGATAAAAACATGTTTTTTATATACCCTTTTTAAATTGATACACACTTGGTAGATAAACATAGTAAATAGAATTATGCTTTATGGATTCACTCCGCTTCCTGATTGCAATGATCCAGAGACATTACAAAACCAGTTTCTTTCACATAATGAGACATTTGAAGATTGTATGATTACAAGACGAAAATACATCTCTGGCCGAGTATATCTTGCTGTGTCTGTTCTTAACGCATTTTTCATTATTATGACGACCCTCTTACTTTTATACTGCGCAGCAAGTCCTTCAAAGGACAGTAGATCATCATCTGTCGAATTGAATTCGAAAAGTCGTCTTAGACTGGCATTCAAAAAATATTCTCTGCAAAAGAAATCGATTGCCTGTGCTACAATGGGGGCATTTGGGCATTTGATTTTTAGCAGTTGTGTATTGTTAGCTCAAGCATTAAATTCAATGGTTGCTTGTTACCTCATCCTCTATGGCTCCGTCGTCGGATTTTACACGTGGGTATTTGCGTTTTGCACAAGAGCATACAGGTTACGATACCTTTTTCGATTGAACCAATTTAAAGTCAAGTATTCACGTATGTCGGAAGAGGAGAAGCTGACATGTTTAAAAGACAAGAACTATCGATGGTATGTGACACATAGTCAAAAGGACCTGACAAAAGTATTACGGATACCATTTCTGGTCTATGCACTCTCACTTGTCATCATTCTCATCATTACCATTCCATCCAATCTACACGCAGTTCAAACTTTGCATTCCTGCAACACGACATGGGGTGCATCCGTCCTCTTGGGCATGTTTGGGTTCTTTATTGCTTTCCTTTCTCCCCTTATCATTTACTGTCTCAAGGATAATCCAGATGCACACGGCATCCGAACAGAACTCTGGATTATTACCTTTTTTGGATTTCCACTCTTTTTACTCTATGCTGTCTTCTTTTTCAAGATAACCCCCGTGCAAGCAGATCCTACCAAATACATGTCCCGTGTGTTTGCACCTGCCAATTGGGTCGTATTCTTTACTGCTGTAGGTCATGTTGTCTCCGTCGTTGTGCCTTTACTGCAGTACATGCCTATTCGCATACCATGTATAAGACATATCTTTTTTATCAAACGGCGGCGAGCATACGCAAACAGTTCAACAGAAAACTTTGATATTAGCCGATTGGCTCCTAGACCGACTTCTTCAATGTCCATACCCCTCGAACTCACTATGGAAAGCCTTGAACGTGCTCTGGCCGATCCGGACCTAATGCATCAGCTACAAGACCTTGCTATTCGAGACTTTAGTTCTGAAAACCTACTGTTTTACGAAAAATACTTGAATCTCGTAGATAGACTCAAAACTGAATGGTGCATTCCGTCTGTGTCGTATAGATTTGACAAATCATCGTTGGCTGAGAATGACTATGGAGGTATATTGCATAGGCATATTCCGGACAAGCTGTTACCTGATTTTATCGACTTTTATGAACAATTCATTCGAGTGAATGCTCCTTTCCAAGTAAACATTTCGTACAAGGCTCGTAACACTTTGGACGAAGCGTTCGATAAGCTCTACAGAAAGAATCCCAGTCTGATGGCCTGCCGGAGGAATACGATCAGAGTAAATGACCGTGTCTATGATACACATATGTTTCCGCTCGGTAATATGTATACAAGCCCAACCAGCAGGCATAGCAGTAGTATGAGCCATACAAAAGATACCTCAACTGCCATTACTCTCGCTCTCTTTGAGACAGCTCGAGTAGAAGTGTGCTGGAATGTATTCAACAGTGTTTACCCAAAATTAATTGAAATAGACAATTAACTTATTTACTCTCCCATGTAAAATAGATCATCACTATAGAAATATACTTTAATAATAATAAATCAATCAGAACATTTGTGGCCTTTTTTATTATTGCCATACACACAGACCTATAGGAATTTTGTGTTTCTTTCCCCTTGTTGTACGAGCTTTTGGTCTTTTCGTTAAACAAGAAGAAACTCATATACAGAGAATGTTAGACTGTATATGCACTTATATAATAATCAATCACTTGTAATATATATATATATAATGCTATTGTATCCCAAGCGTTATCAAAGTACTCTTCATACCATTAAACCCGGCAAACCACCCAAAACTGCCAAAAAAAGTCCCTCTCGACTGTCGTTCGGAATTTCAACTTGTCCTCCTTCACTCTTTTACACCTTTTTTTTGTTTTCCCCTTATTTTGTGTTATGATAGATCCGTTCATATGGTTACTATTGCTATGTATAGCTATGCTTGTATCAAGTTTTGTTGCTGGCTGCATACCGTTGACAACCAAACTATCTCAGTCGAGCCTATGTCATCTTACAGCCATCAGTGCCGGATTGCTTATTTCCACTAGTCTCGCCGTCATCATACCTGAAGGAGTTGAAACAATATACAAAGATGATTCAGAATCAGACTCGATTGCGACACACACTGTTGTGGGGCTGTGTTTACTGACTGGTTTTGCTGTCATGTTCCTTATTGATCAGTTCAGTTCGATGCATATTCACAATACAACAACAACAGCAACTGATGTTAACAAACTAGACTCAACTGAACTTGACACAATACTCAATCTGTCTAATGACCAAGAAAGTCAGCATTTAGTAAAGTCTCTGAACGCTACGCCAACTGTCGGTCTGATTGTTCACGCTGCAGCAGATGGTATCGCCTTGGGTGCATCTGTATCAGATCCTCAATTGTCAATGGTCGTATTCTTTGCCATCATGCTTCACAAGGCTCCTTCCGCATTTGCCTTGACTACCGTCCTTCTCAATCAAGGTCTTTCGCGAGCACGAGTGAGGAAACATCTCCTCATGTTTTCTTTATCAGCGCCTTTAGGGGCAATCGTCACTTACTTCTCCTTACAATTTGTTTATACTCTTCACAACTTAAACTATTGGACTGGTCTCCTCTTGCTCTTCTCTGGTGGCACATTTTTGTATGTCGCCATGCATGCGATACAAGAGAGTGATGACGAACAGCAAAAGCAAAAGCGAGTCAGCTGCATACTTTTGGGCATGGTGATACCCTTCATTCTCAACTTGAACCACTCACATTAAAATCTACTGCACATACTAATTTCAATAAATATACAAGTGGCTTGGCCCTCCTATAAAGTGGCTTAGTTGAGCCCCAGCTGGGGACTAAAGGGAAAAAGAGTCCAACGGTTTGCAAGTGAAAGCCCTCTCTCTCTTTTTATATAAAATGTCTACTTTCGAAAAGGTGATTAAACAACAGTAATCAGTATTTTAAAGCATCAGCATTAACATTGTTCAGGTTGTTGTCATCGATGGTAAGGGTCATCTTCTCGGTCGTCTTGCTTCCATCATTGCCAAGCAAGCCCTCAATGGTCAAAAGGTCGTTGTTGTCCGTTGTGAAGAATTAAACGTCTCTGGTGAATTTTTCCGTAACAAGTGTATGTACTATCTATATAACAAAGAAAAAAAAATAGCTTATAGTTCCATATAGTAAAGTACCACGCTTATCTCAATAAGCGCTGTGTTGTCAACCCTCGTCGTGGTCCCTTTCACTTCCGTGCGCCCTCTCGTATCCTCTATAAGGCTATTCGTGGTATGATCCCCCACAAGACTTCCCGTGGTGCCGCTGCCTTGGACCGTATCAAGCTCTTCGAAGGTGTCCCTGCTCCCTATGACCGTGTCAAGCGTATGGTCGTTCCTGACGCTCTTCGTGTCCTCCGTCTTAAGCCTGGTCGCAAGTACACCACCATCGGCCGTATCTCCCACGAAGTTGGTTGGAAGTACCAAGATGTTGTTGCCAAGCTCGAAGAAAAGCGTAAGGCCAAGTCTGCTGCTTACTATCAACGCAAGGTCGCTCTTGCCGCCATCCAAAAGAAGGCTGCCGATGCCAAGGCTGATGCTGTTAAGGATATCAATGCTTCTATTGCTGCCCTTGGTTACTAAACTTTTTTTTGATGAGGAAAAGAAAGGAAGACGAGAAATAAAATGTTTATTTATATATTAAGGGTATACATGACGCTTCAATTTCCTGTTGAAGGACGTCTCAATTTAACTTTATTCAATTGAGAATCTACTTCTCCTAGCATTTCTTCCAACTCATTCTTGCGTCTTTGTGATCTCAATAACCGTTTTGGAAGATCACTAGACTGTTTATATAAAAGTGTCAATATTAAAAAGTGCTTTGCGAATGTATGTCTTACTCTTTTCTTGACAAGATAACGATCTTCATTTAAAAAGCTTTCTCCTGATTCGTCTTCACTGTCTTCTTCAAAGTAAGCTATTGGTGAGGGTGGTTTTGTTGAGGATAAAGATGAATCTGATGTGGATGATCGATGGTCAGGATGATTGTGCAGTAATAGGTCAACATCCATTGTTGTCGCAGTGTCATAAAAACTATTGTTGTTAATATAAACACAACAAGGAGATAATCGAATGTACCTTTTCCTTTTGGTTTCACAGTCATCCAAGTCTTGTCCATCCACCTTCAGCATATGCTCCATTGTCTTTCGTAGGACCTGTATTTGACGTTGAGCGAGCTTTAACTCGTTTTTTAGTTTGCTGATCTCTTCATTTTTGTATTGAAGGTTGCTATAGTACGCATAGTGTTCCTCTGTCGCCTGTTGCTTCATATTCTCTAGCTCTTGACGTAATTGAGTTGTCTTTCCTTGTCCTGTTTGTGGTCTATAACAATAATAGCAATGGTTATGTGAGTTTTATTGTAAATAGTAAAGATGAAATAAACTTGCTGTAAATCTTCAAGTGCTTCTCTTAATCGTTCATTTTCAAGCTAGAATATATTTATATGCAAATTCAGCCGATGATAAATGTAATAAAAGGAGTGTATTTTTTTTACCTTTTCTTTATCATAATTTGCCTTGATCCGATCTCTTTCTTCAGTAATTTCGTCACTGAGAACACAGAAATAATCTAAATCCTTAGCAATAGCTACATATGATAATAAATATAAAGCTTAAATTTATTACAGAGTGTACCTTCTTTTTGACCTTGAAGGGATCGAGAAAAGGCTCTTTCCTTCTCAAGTGACTGCTCCAAGGACTTGATTGTGTCCAACAAACCTTGATGGTCGCAGCAACATTTGTTGTTGGCTTGATCGGACATTTTCGGTAAACTTTTTTTATTATTCAATGAGGCGCTGCTTGCACTCTTACTCAGTCGTAATCGAGCAGGTGAAGGCTGTCTTAGTCTTGATGTTTTGGACCTTGCACTACCAGCCGACGTTGTTGTTGATTCAGATCGAAGGGATTGATTGCTCTTGCTCTGTTTCAGTCGAGACCCTGTTCTTTCCAGTGACTTTCTCTGTGGTGGACTTGTTGATTGTACGACAGGAATTGAGCTCCTCTTATTGTCTAATGGAGGTTTTTCATTAGTTTCACACCAAATATATATATACTTTATTGTATACCTATTGTGACTTGATCTATTGCATGAAAGAAAGAGGGAGGACAGGATAAGTAAATGTATTTTCTCGTTTTCAAGGAGATATATATATTACCTGGTTTTGTTGTTGGTACAGGTTCTGCTAGCTGAAATTGGCTGATGGTCATCCTTTTGAGTTGAGGGGATGAGATACGTATGGAGGCAGAGCTTGCTCTATGTCGTAATGTACTATTAAAAGGTTGATCATTACACATTTAATATATCAACCGTTTTTTTTCTTTGTGTATCCTGTTGTACCTTGAATGTTTCAGCTGTTTTTCATCTTCAATCATGCTGCTTGTAAATAAAAGTCTGTCTTTTTTATCTAAAAGAAATATAAGCTTTATTCATATCTAACATTCAACCAACCTGAAGTTTTGCTCTGTTTACTCAAGCCTAGCTTTTGCCAGAATCGTGGTGATGAAGATGCCATTTGGGAGATTATACAAAAAGGGAGGGTGTGTGAGAGAGTGAGAATAAAGAAAAAAAGAGAGAGAAAAGGGCTGAAAAAAGGTACGCAACTTCCATAAAAACGATTTGTGCTACCAATAACATCATCTTACTTCATAAAAGCATTAACAAACATGTGTAGGTTTATATCTAGGTGAATTTATTAAGGGCTACGCGCGTGCAAGTTGTGGGTATAAAAAATATAGTCTAAACATCTTTATAGTCTTCTTCTGCTCCTTGGATTTGATTTATATCACTGTTATCTTTTCTTTTATTTTTTGATCCAAGTGATTCTTTACGAATGGGTATTTTTATCCCTTGTCGTGCAAAGCATATAGATAAAGGGGTTGATTCTACAAATGTTAGACTTTTTTTTTATGGAACATGCTAAATGACTTACGAACTACGCCTGGAAACTTCTTGGCTGTATAGACCGTGAATGGATCTGAATAGACCGTCTGGAGCACTTGAGATAAGGTTTCTGTATTGACATTATATGAATAAGGTCTACGAGAAATATATTATTCATAATCTATTCTATTTTCTGTTGATATACAACACTTACGACCCAACATCAATCAGCGAAAACTTAAGACGAAATGTACCTTCGGTTCTTAAGCTGATATCATGAAAGATGAAAAAAATGCCCAAGTTACCATCAAGATCATACAGCTTATTGGCAGAAACAACAGAGGCACCAACTAAGTTTTTCAGTCGACTTGTTCGTGGGTGTCGCCCTTCTTCTGAAGACGAAAAGACAACCACTTGAGACACTGGCACGGATGTTGATCGGGACGCGGTGGTACTGCTCGCAGCTGCAGCAGGTTCACCTGTTTGTAGACACGAATCGCACAAAACGACCAAGAAGGTAACATCAAACATTCTATAGATGCATATTAGACAGAGAGATACTTTAAAAGTTTTTCTTACTCTGGATTGACATCGTGTCCATCTTTGGTAGTAATAAACAGTTGAAGAATAGGCGCAGGTACAATCGCCCTTCGATCCTTATCGCCAAACCCGCACATTCTAGCTCTGGAGGGTTGTTGGACAATTTTCAAATCATAAATAAATCTATGGTTGAGAGATTAGATGTGATTTCTCTTTTTTATATACAACTAGCTTACTTTTCTTTGGTGGCTACTTCGGCCGGGGAAGGTCTATAGAATTTTTCAAGTGGATGTCTGACGGTTCTAAAGCTCGATAAAGGCTGATTTGATGGTACTGTATATTGTGATGGATGTTCGGATGGTCTTTCTGGTACGGTACTAGCTTTAGCGAGATTGATAAGCTCGCTAAACACATCTTGCTCTTTTCTTGGCTGCTGAGCATAAAATGGACTGCTACTAGACTCGGCTATAGTTGACATGAGCACATTCGGATCTTGGTCATTCAGCAGATCATGGGAACTGAAGCCGTAAGGTATTGTAGTTGTCGTACCAGGCAAGTTGGATATAGACGTAGCGGAACTCTGCTCCTGATGCTGATTGTTAAAGATCATGCTATTTGCAAATAGATCATGTCTACCAATAAAGGGTATTGGCGTGGTACTGTCAAGAGCAATTGAATGTTCAAATGATTCGAGTGAAGTAGGGTTAGGATAGAATGAATCAAAATCTAAAGAATAAGATTCTCCTTCTTGTTGTTGTTGCTGTTGTTCCTCATTGTATATATAATAATGATCTAAATTTTCATTGATGTTGTTCATAATATACAAGGGGCTCAAGTAGCATAACTGAGGTTCCAGTCCAACACAACAATGTTCTATAAGAAAAGAAGAAAAAGGAAAAAAATAGAAAAAAAAGAGAAAATACTTTGTTTAAAAATATTTTTAATAACTTTTTGTGTGCTGGATTAAAAGTGTGCGTTGATCGATCAATTTGAACACGAATGAAAATAGATTCTTTTCTTCCTATTTCGATTTTTCACATCAGATGGGTACATGTATCCGTGGCAATAGTCTGTATCTATGGTAACGATCTTTTTTTTTTCTCATCAGACAGGTTCTTCTCCCTTCTTCTCCTCCTCCTTATTCCGCTTACACTGTCTTACTGTTTGTGTACCTCTCTGCTTTAACGGCTTGCTGTCTTGTTCAATCACTTTATCATTTGAATCTCCCGCTCATTATTTCGGTAGATTCTTTTCAGTCATATTGTCTATCAACCAAGAGAATATTTTGTTTCTAAAATGAGGAAGAATAAGTTGCTATGTAACAAGGAAAAAAGAAAAATCTATTCGGAGTTTGCTTACCAAGCTGTCGGTTCTACCAATGATAACGCATAATTTCGGCCGATAAATAATCGTTTCAATATTTGGAAAAGAAAAAGAACCTCTGATGGTCCATAAATGAATTGAATCCCAGCAATTATTTCTTTTCTTTTCTTTTTACAGGCTTACACACTTGAAATCCAGATGTTTTAGCACGGTTTGTCTCAAATATATACGTCAGTTATTTTCTGTATCTAGACAAGATCACGAGCTTAAAACAAACCAAAATTGTGATTAACAAACAAACAAAATATTTAGCTCCGTTTATTGTTCATGTATTACAAGAGTGTGTAAGTTATTAGAACCGTATTATAATGAGTAAACAAAGCTCTCTTTTAATGACAAAGGACACTTGTACGTTCTCAACAGTCTGAGAAAAGGGAAAAAAAGGCTAGGCTTCATTATTACTTTAGTAAGACTAAATATTTCTGTTGCCAAAACTAGATCTCATTAAACTTGATACAAATATGCAAAACAGGAGTAATGAAGTGTCATTCAATAGTTGTAACAATTCAAACTCTTATCAGGATTCCATTTTTGTTCGTTTCAAAGAAACCAATCTATGCTCAAACAAGACCCTTGCTATCACTGTGATTAGTACATTTCCTTTTCCATAGTAATCTCCCTTCCCTTTTTCAGTTAGCATATTAATCGCTTCTGGGGGATACGAACGGTTTTTCTTTGCTTTTTTTTTCTCTCAAAATCTTTTTGAACATAGCAACTGCCATTTGGTTAGTAAGTGTTCTCCTTTGAAATATTTTTAATAATTCTCTCTGCTGAATCACAATATCCGCAGTGGCGCTATTGAAGAATATTTGACTAATTTCTTACTCTATACGTTTAAACTCGATTTATTTATAATAAACCAAAACCTCAATTGGGCACACAATAATAATAACATATATTCCATCCGAGGCAAGCCAAAACGGGAAATTAATATCCAAAAAAATCTTTATTGGATCAAAAGTAAAAAAGGTTGTAGGAAGGATGATGTCAGAGCATAAATGTATAATATACTGGTGTGGGAGGAGGAGGAAGATAGCTATTCTAGGAGTCTTTTTCCGAAATGAGATGGCGGAGGAGGTGGATGCTTATCGTGATGGAGGCAATCAAAACAATAGAGGATATTACGTATAGCTGACCAACGAAGGGTTTATGGGAGAGTGGCTTGGGACGAATGGGAACTTTTCATAGGTAGTGCGTTCAAAAGGAAGGACAGCAGATCAGAAATGCCTTTGGGCATCATGAATCAATGGTGTAACTGGACACAGCAAATGGAATGGATTTTTGTTAAGGATTGGTTAGAGTGATGAGGATAGGTTTTTTGTAATGAACATCTGGGAGCCAGTCCAAACGCTAACGCATGCAGCGACTTCTGTCAGATATAGTCATAGAAAGCTAGAGGATGAGGTCTTGAGAGATGATCGCGTGACACTGCAAAAGAAGAACAGAAGTATGTGTAGAGCGCTTATGGCTGAGGTTTTCTTGACAGAACTTCCGTTCTATTGGCCGTAATGATCGACGATCGAGGGATTCTAGATTTAAGAAACAATGTTTCTCTAGAGAATTTGTATCAATGGGAGTGGCTTCTGGATTAGCGGATCAATGGAAGAGGATGGGAAAGTAGTACATCATCTGGAAGAGTAAATGAGCGTAGAAAAAACTGAGACTGGAGTGCATAAGCGTATTCTTGTATGGTTGGCAGTTTTGTCATGTGTAGCATCACCACTATTGAGGAATTACAGGAGCCGCCGAAGATTCGATATATACAGACGTTTTGAGCGTCTTTCAATTGTTTGCTAAGGAATGAGATAACCTTGGTAGTGGCTAATTCGTATCCTAATTGAGCACGAACAATTTGGTAGTAAAAAAGAATGGCTAAGAGAGGAGTAAAGTCTTTGGGATGAAGGCCGATGGCCGAGGATTGGTTTATGGCTGCAAGAGCTTTAGCCTTATTGTGATTGATCAATTCAATGGCGTCAAGATGGCCACCCTAGTGAAAAGGAATTCTGAAGTAAGAAAAAGAGGATTGTCTCTTTGTCAGTTCGCCATAGGGAATGTAACTTGAATGTGTCTGTGTAGGAACTAGTATGACGTATTTGCTTGGGTTCCATAGATAGCCAAGTTGATAGTTGTGATCCTCACAAGGCTTGAGAAGGGTGGGCATGTCTGCCTTAGCAGCTATGAGAATAACTTTGTCAGCATACACGAGTCAGTTCAAGTGAGGAACCTTTCCAGTAGGAAAGAGATCGAAGGTTAGTGAATGTGGACATAAATAGTCAAGGTAGCTCATTGATGTATATAGAATATAAGAAAGGAGAGAGAATGGATCCCATAAAGACCTATATTTGATAAAATTTGTAGGCTTGCAGACCAAACACATTTACCTTTTTTGCTCCAAAAAGAATAAATGACTTCTTAAACATGCACTTCAATATCTTCTTCAGATCCTTGGCTACCCTCAATCCATCTTTAAGAAAGTGGGTCTAATCCTCCTTCCACATAGGAATAGGCACCTCAAGAATCAGAAAATCCAGGTTGAGCTCTTGAGCATCCACTATACCATCGATAGAAGCACCGGCAGATCTTCTTTCATAATCATCCTTTGCCAGGTTTTTTCTTCCTCTTTGCTTGCTGTGAGCTTTGTTTCGCACTACTTGTAGCTCCATAGGCTCTTGTTCGTATCAAAATTAATGGTGATGATCTTGCTGAAGTATTCAATAATAAAAGAATACTCATTTCGAGTAGTAAACTGAAGCAAATTGATACAGTTTCTTTGTTGTTGAGGATGAACCTTGAGTAGCTTTAAGGCAGCTCTCTTGTGAGCATAATTGGGATCATTTTTTCTTAACTCGATTTTGGCCTTCTTCGAGAGCATTTTCACGTCGCCAGTACTGCTGCTGCCTTTACTTTAGAGAACTCAGTTCTCAAGGCTGCTGTAGGAACATTGAAAGGTATAATTGTTGACATGGAAACAAGCAAAGTTTCTTCAGGGACCTAATGAGTAGTTCTGATAAACTTACTTTAAGCTTTGATTTGTATAACATGCCTTTAGAGAAATTACCTGAGTAGAACCACTGGCTTTTCCTTTTATGTTCTCGTGAACAAGCCGATCAACTTCCGCATCAGCCAGTGTCTATGCAAGAATAAAAGGCAAACACTTGATGCACTCAAAAGTGCACCAGAAGTTGGACTAATTCTAAGTGCGTTGCCTCTATTCGCTACTTATGATGTCACCCAACAAAACTTTTCAACCATCTTGGATTGTTTCTTTTCAAGAAGAAGAAAGAGATAAAAATAATTTTTATTCTTTTATTTTACTTTTATGTTATCAGTTTGATCAACAAAGATGCAAGAGCACATGTAGTTATGATGATATCGTATTTTATATCAGAGAGAGTGAACTGGACAGCCTTAGGTCAGGCAAAGACTTTAGTAGTGTAAAGTTGTAAAACGATACCACATGTAGCGCCCCAAGGAAGCATTCATAGCATTAGTCTAGTTTTGAATGCACCAAGTGTTGACCGAAAAGAAAGTGCTTAGTTCATGTGCAAAAAAAGAAGCGTTAAGAGCAAGCTATATTACCAAGTTTATTTTTTCAAAAGCCCATACCAATCGACCAAGTTATAATCTAAAGTGTTATCGCCTTTGAATGTTTCAAAGAAGCTAACTCAGTTCTGTTTTAAAGCTTTACGACACAAGTTATTGACCGACTCGTAATACATTTGCGTAATTTAGTATTCTCGCTCGATGAAGAAGTCTGAGACTTTTGGCTTATTATCAGTCAGAGTGCTATTGAGATAATCTTGTATGAGATCCATTATGCTATATATGTAAGAAGATGAAGAAAGCCTTGTTTTTTAGTGCTGAAGGGCTGTAGTGCAATGATAACGCATCACAATAGGATCGACAACGTTATTTTTTTAACAGAGTTTTATTTAAAGTCCTCAAGCTGTCGCATTGAGGGAACAAGACTGGTTATGAAGTTAAAATTATTATTTACAACGGAAAATGGGACGATTGGGAAATTGATTTTTCTACAAAGTACAATGCTTGCACCAAGAGCCGGATCGACAACACTATAAAATCCTAGAAATATCTAATCCGTGAGTGTGTACTAACGAAAGTTGTTACAGAATGTCTCTTCTTGATGTATCTAGATTATCACTAATGTAACAGGTATCTACCGAAAAATCATGGAAAGAAGCCAAATATTTCCAGTAATCATATGAATCGCTTTGAAGGTTGCCAATCTTGCTCCATAAGTAGCTCTTGTGAACTCTCTGCTTCAGCTGGGTACACACATTTATCTTTTCATCAAGATTTGTCTTCTCTGCAGGGCGTTTCCAGCTTTCACAACAAAAATAAGTTCCTAACGCCAAGGTTTACACGCCATTGGAGGCAAACATCAACGTTACACCTCTTAATAGATCGCCCTTTTAGACAGCACTTGGTTTTCTGTGGCTATTCAATTCCCTTCTTCCTCTCTTAACCTCTTCTTCGTTTTCTATCTCCCGAGGAAAATCGTCCATCATCCGAGCCCGACTTTTCTTTGAATGAATAATTTCCCACCAAAATGTACTCGAGCTCATATCTTTCGACCGTGGGTGGACAAAAAGGTTATTGTAATATTTTTCGGGTCTCTAATGGAAAGAATTATATAGAAAAAATTGATTACCAGACCATTACCTGCTCGATATCTGGATAGATAAAAAAAGATTGCTCTACTACATTCCACTGGCAAAGAGCAGCAAATAGATGGCTTAGAGAAAAAAAAAGGGATGGTTTCATGCAGATTGCTGTAAGAAGGGTGATTATAACGATATAAGAAAAAATAAGGAAGAAGAAGAGATATAGTTTTCTTCATCCTTTATATGTGATAAAAGCACTACTATTGCTGGTGTTTGACTACTTCTATTCATAGAACTCATTTCTTGTCAGTCAAATACTTGAATCTGCCAACTTCTTTTCTAGTGCTTCATTTCCTTCTGATACGTCAAAGGGTTGTCGGTAATCAGTAGATGTAGAGAAAAAGCTAAAAATATATTTATGATTGGATGACTTTTTTTGTTTGTTTGCTTTTTACTTGATAGATATTATACATCCACTATTACAAACTCAGGCAGATTGGGGTACCGCAGTAATAAGCATGTTTGTACCTTAAACTCAGAAACATAGTTGAAATTATCTATTTCCACAAAAGAAGATCTGAATTCAAAGTTGATTTACAAGAAAAGAAATTACAAGAGCGATTGGCTAATATTCGTAAAGAATTTTTATTGGATTGCTGCGTAGTAAGAAGAAAAAGAAAAAGAAAAAAGGCTGGACAAAGAGATACAATTGATCATATGTAAGGAATATCAAGACTAAATGCCATATAGATAATTTATACACTTTATTGTAATATAAAAAAATAATCGATCCATAACGATTACTTCTCAGTGACTGTTATCATTCTTTATTGCTTCAAACTTGTGAAAAATAATGAAAACCAAAATGACTTGCTCGTATAATGTGGTCAACACTTTATAACAAAATGAAAATCATACAAAAATAGCAATTATATAACTGATAAATTGTAAGACATTCACTGTATATAGCTGTGTGCAAATAGTGGTTGATTAAAGTGTAACAATAAGCAAAAAAGAATCTGATAAACCATAAAAGCGAAAAATCACCACGAGTAAAGTAAACAAAGTGATTGGATAATCAAAATCCATCTGATAATTATTTCTATTTCCGACATTTAAAATTTTTATCAGATTCCACCCCCTTGCTCGTGTTTAAAAGGAGAGGATCTGATAAAGATCTTTTTCTTTTTTTTATATTTCCATCTGATAACCAATACAACACACCATGGCAACTCGTACTTGCTTGAAGTTAAAAAATTTCAAAAACACTTCAGTCCTTAATAACCGAACTAGCCTGTTTCCTGGCTCGCAAGCATTCCTTCGTCAAGCAACCACAAGCTCAACTATCCTTCAGACTCTATCCTCTCCTTTTAAGTTTGCCGACAGAGATTTGCTCCTCAGACAACAAGATATTCATCATGTCAGATTCACTTCACCTGAAGGTAAAAGACTCTTTAGAGGCGCCATGGTACAAGGTCAGGCTGAAAGCTTCTTCAAGTTAATGGGTAACTTTTCTACGCAGTCTTCGCCTTCTCATGGCGGAGTTAGTTCTCGTAAGTTTATATTTATAGATTGTATATATGTATAACGAAACCAACCAATTTTATGGCGTAGTTGCCATGGTTCTCAATGCCCTCGAAATTGACCCAAAGAGAATTTGGAAGGGTAACTGGCGCTGGTTTTCAAGTAAGCCTATAAAAAAAAAAACAAAAGACTGCCTCTTTAACATGTTATATTGATTAGGCGAGCAACTACAAACATGTTCATCGGCGGAGTCTATTCAAGAGCATGGTATACCCTTTGATGAGTTCACATGCTTGGCTCAACTCTATTGCTCTGTCAATTCATACCGCGCTCAAAGCTACGCCACTTTCCTCTCGCATCTCGAGTCTGTTACGTCAGACTCCACCAGCCAAATGGTTGTCCATTATTCTCGAAGTGCGTTAGGCCAAGAGGATCACTTGGCTCATTTTAGTCCGATTGGTGGTTACAATAAAGAAGAAGATCAAGTTCTCATCATGGATGTGGCTCGTGGTAAATATCCAAGCGTATGGGTCAAGACAAAGGTACTTTATGACGCCATGTCTCTTAGAAGCATGGAAGAATCTGGTCGTAGTCGTGGTTACTTTATCCTAAGCGCCAGCCAACAACATAAATATCAAGACAACTTGAAACTCAAGTGTAAAGACTGTACTCGTCAGTGCCAATTTAAATAACCTGTATTATTATATTCTATACTCTTCATTACTATTATTCATTTGTATTATACACTCATATATTGTTCATAATAAAACTCTCCCCCTTTTTTGAATCTAAGCACATACACAAATGTTTACCGGTCCGAGCTTATGTCCGAAAAACCGTCGGACGGATTTTGAAGGGAACAAATAAGAATTAAAAAAGATACAAAAGAAATACACACAGACGGCGGGGGTGTACGTGAATGAAAGCCAGAGAGAGAGAGAGAGTGCCATAGAGAAAATGAGAGAGAGCAGACACTTCCAGAGGGCCAGTGTGTACCCCTTCATGGAAACAAACAGGCCCATCAGATCGTCTCTCTCTCTCTCTCTTGCGTACTTTTAAAGTAATGTATTATAAACAACCTAGATGATGGATAGATGAAGGATGGATGGGAGATAAGACGGGGATGAGGAGGAGATGAAAAAAAAAAAAGTCAAAACTGTGGAATTGAGATGAATTAACTTTTTTATATATTTTTATAGAACTAGAGCAATCATGGTCAGATACGCTGCTACTCCAGCCAATGCCTCCAAGGGTAATAATCACAACATTAATAAAGAGAGAGAAAATCTAATTATACTATATAGCTGCCAAATCCAGAGGATCTTACCTTCGTGTTCACGTATGTTTTATTGACAATAAAAATTCAGGCCAGTAATTAACAATTCGTATAGTTCAAGAATACTCATGAAGTCGCTGTTGCCATCCAAGGTATGAAGTTGAGCAAGGCTTATGCTTACCTTAACAACGTCAAGGAACACAAGCAATGCATTCCTTTCCGTCGATTCAACGGTGGTGTTGGTCGTACCGCTCAAGCCAAGGAATTCGGTGCTACTCAAGGCCGCTGGCCTGTCAAGTCTGTCAAGTTCATCCTCGACCTTTTGAAGAATGCCGAAAGCAACGCTGAGGTATTAATGTGGAATTAACAAAGAGAGAGAGAGTTATTCATCATTGCATATATTTATAGGCCAAGGGTTTGAATGTCGAAGAACTTTACATCTCTAGTGTTATCGTCAACCAAGCTCCCAAGCACCGTCGTCGTACTTATCGTGCTCACGGTAGAATCAACCCTTTCATGTCTTCTCCCTCTCATATTGAAGTTATCCTTACCGAAAAGGAAGAAGCTGTTCCTCGTGCTACTGACAAGAAGGTTGTCAAGCTCAATGCTCGTCAGTTGGCCCGTAACGCTCGTCTGTTGGCCGGTAAGACCCGTTCTACTAAGGCTTAAGATATTTTTCGATAATAATAAAGCGAACTTTTTGTATAATTTTCTCTCTTTTTCTTTCTGTGTTTTATCATCATGTCTACTACTAATAAACCCCGTGTTTCTATTGAGGTGTGAATATATAATAATGCTCAATTATAAAGTTTCATCTAACATACAGATTACTAGTATTGTCCAAAATGTCGTTGGATGATGCGTGCTGGTAAGAAGGACAAGAATAATTTGAAAGTAAAAACAGACTCATGTGATTTATATAGCTTGGATGGGTCAGGAGTTATTAACTACATTCGAAAACGAAATCGGAGAACTTGCTTTAATACCTGGTGATGCAGCTGTTTTCAAGGTGACGGCAAATGGTGGTACGTATGATTGTCACTGTCTTCATTATTTCTTATTCACTTTTTTTTTTTTTTTTAAAAAAAAAAAAAGTGGTTGTATGGGATCGTAAAGAAGAAAAGGGATTCCCTGAATTAAAAGAATTGGTAAATCACAAAGCATAAAAGATTACATTTTAATATGACAATAGAAACAACGTGTACGTGATATCATCGCACCAAACAAAGCACTGGGTCACTCTGATAAAAAGAAACAAGAGGACTGCAAGACATGTCCTAGTAATTAAAGAGAGGGGTTTATTTGTTATGTACACACAAAAAGAAAAAATTAATAATAATAAAATCAACACAATGTTTAAACAGCTTGTCTAAGAACAGTCTTTCCTTGGTTTCTAAACAACAGCACTTCTCGACGTCCAAGGATGGCCAGTGCTCTCGTGATGGCAGATTCAGTATATCCTTGATTTAAAAAGTCAGCTTTAATCCTTGCCACAGGTACTTGAGAACCAACAGGCAATCGTCTTAGAATGTCTGCTTCAATCAGTTGAACTTCTTGCATCATCTCACTACGTGTCATGCCTTCAGCTCCTCCACTTTGAACAGCATCCATAGTTGAATATTTGAACAGACGAAGTGCTTCCTCTACATGTCTTTCTGTTGCATGAGGCGATAGTGTCATCTTGGCCAAGGATTCAGATATACGAATGATGGCTTCCAGTTGTCTGATCGTGATAGGAATTGTTGATCTCACTTGTGTGTCTCTCTCGGTCTCCTTGAGCTCTTTACGAATAGAAACGAAATGGCTACTCAATTTCTCTGCAGCTGATGGTGTTAATCTAGGGGCGCATTTACTATATAACACATTAGTTTCTTGCTTTGTTTAATGAATAAACACACTTACGCTTTACAATAGTTGATGTATGCCTTCATCTTTTCCAAATCAATTTCTCCCATGGCAGCATCTTGAATTTGTTTGTTCATGTGAACGTTCAAGACGTGTCTAGCAATAGACTATATGCTCATGTTAACTATTCGCCTTTCTTCTTTTTACATGGTGTCTTACCATATCTCGAGCTTCATTGTGTTCATCCTTAACAACAAAGATCATGTCAAAACGGGACAAGATTGTCGTCTGGAAATCAATGTTTTCACCTGCACTCTTCATGTCATCATATCGACCGAATACAGGATTAGCAGCAGCCAAAACAGACGTACGGGAGTTCAGGATGGTTGTGATACCTGCCTTGGCAATCGAAATCGTTTGTTGTTCCATTGCTTCATGAATAGCCACACGGTCTTCGTCACGCATCTTGTCAAACTCATCAATACATACAACGCCACCATCAGCTAATACCATGGCACCACCTTCCAGATAAAAGTCCCTCTGTAACACATTAATTATATATTTTTAAGCTTATAAGAAAGACCTACCGTATTAGGGTCACGTATGACAGAAGCTGTTAAACCTGCAGCACTGCTACCTTTACCAGAAGTGTAGACAGCAATAGGAGCTACCTTTTCTGCAAATTTCAAAAGTTGTGATTTAGCAGTACCTGGATCACCCAAGAGCAAGACGCTAATGTCACCTCTTAATCTCATGCCATCAGGAAGGATCTTTTTAGAACCGCCAAAGAGCAAACAAACAATGGCTTTTTTGATATCTACAAACAATAGTCAGTTATATGTATTAATATATATATATATATGTCATATTACCTTCATTGCCAAAAATGGATGGAGCAAGACTGCTAGCCAGTATATTGTACAAATCAGGTTGACGAGACAATCGAACGAATTCCTCTTCCTCTGCTTCTGTGAAATGAGGTCGCCCACGACTACTGTTGTGCTGATCAACTTCGAGACCGACGACTCGAATATAAGGTGTACGGACAGCAGTGGCACCGGATCCTTTCTATGATAATCTTAGTCTTCCATATCAACACTAGGGTAAAAGTACCTACATTTGATTTGCTTTGATAGATTGAATAGATACCCATAATAACTGCACGCATACCAGGAACAACACGGTTTGTCAACCAGCGATCGGCATTCAAGATGATGTGACGAGGTAAGTCACCGACAGGCACCATGTCGGGTGCTTCCTGTAACTTTATAACTTGTGAATCGACAAACTTACACTTGTCATGGACAATCACGAATGGATCCATAGGACACTTGTTTCGAGATCCGTCTACATCTCGTGCATTATCACAGCTTCTGGGCAGTGTGATAGATGAAAAACCACCGTGAATAGGAAGTACTTTGGTGTTCAAACAAGCTCGACACATTGCTGTCACTTGAGTCGCTCTTGAGCTTAACGTGGAGGCACCGATGACGATACCTGGAATACGTACCAATTTACCAATGTATTCAGACTATATAGTCAATGTTAATATTATAACCTCCCTTACAAAAAAAAAGTCTTACATCCAAGTCTCGAATTTGAACAACATTCTCGCTAGACTTGAGCATCACTTGACAGTCAGGAATATCCACATTATTCACATCGTTAGGATTCACAAACAAAATACGCTTGGCAGATTCTTTAACAGCATTTTCAAACTATTATTACACATGGTTAATCTTTTATGATTCATATCCATTTGATCTCTTACAAGAGGTAAAAATTCAGCAGGATTCTTCTTTAGGCCGTCTGCAAGCTTATCATTATAACCAATAAGATCAGCCATGTCTACTTCAAGATAGTACTGCTTTGTCAACACATTTTCCTGAAGTTGATCTCTATATGCAGACAACACATTAGTTCACAAACGACGTATCACACAAACGTTACCTGTAAATAAAGTTATTTCTTGCACGGAAAGTTTGAATGAACTCATAGAATAAAGAAGTAATTTCAGAATGAGAATTAACTTGAACTTGTCCAGGAAGAACAGAGGTTGAATATATTTGCCCTTGATCCCAACCAAATGCAGCCATGGTTTAGAATAATAATAATAAAAAAAAAAAGGAACGCCAAAAACGACACGTTAATTTTTTTTCCCAAAATTGGAGCAAGTCACAGTTGACTTGTCTTTCGCGTCTCCGCGCGTAAACCTTCTTGCAAAAAAAAGGGGAAGCTGCAATTTAGTCTACATGATGCTGATAATTGCGGACAACAAATTCTTAGTACCTGAGCTGATAAATTGGCATTTGTAGCAAAGACAAACCCTTTTGGTTTGCCCCTCGTGCTTGTAAACGTTGTTTTAAAAAAAAGGACAAGGACGCATACAAGCGATCTATTTAATGAAGTGAGTATGTTTTCTAGGTATGCGCATTTGTGTATATATACAACTATGTTTTGGTTTGGAAAACAATAACAACAATATATATATCACATGAGCTTTTAAAGTATATAGTCTTTTTTTTCTTTTTTTTTTTTTTTATTTATTTATCAATGAAAAAGCATTCATTCTATATCATTCACGCTGTATCGATCCGCCGTCTTTTTCAATGGAAATACGATTTTTCATTTTTAGTTTTTATCATTTGGATAATTTGGTATCGATTTTGCGAAAGCTTGATTATTGTCTGTATCATAATCCACAAGTCCAGATTACTGAATGACGTATTCGATATACATCGGCTGGTTCAAGATGATAGAACAGGATTTTCTGGATTACTTGTATGCATAGGATGGGCTATAGTCCAACAGCAGGCTATATGGCTTACCATCCTTGCTATCATATGCCTTTCCAGTCAACGAGTTCAAACGATCCTTAAAACGCTCCTATATAATCCGTCTACCAAGACTGTCACTCGTTCATCACAGCAGACGTACTATTGTTTTGAAGTATATCATCATCAACGGTGGTGGGTTGCTACCGGTTGGGGACATTGTCTATTACCACAAGATCCTCCAGCATGGTAATTTTAAAGGTTCTTTATTTTTCTTTATATATATATAATTCTTGGACATAGGACAGACATTCATTTGGAACCAACCTGCTCAATTCATACGTTTAGATTGCCACCACCGACAAGTATAGGTAAACAACAAAAACGCGTCACCTGGGTATGGACGGACCCAGAATGGATAAGAGGACAAGAAGGATGGCAATACACTGACTGGGCCTGGAAATTCTGGTCAAAGACTCGTACACGGCGCGAACGATGGTACCGTTTGGCTGAACGTAAAGAGCATCTTGTCAATTTATAAAAAAGAGGGATTGTTTATTATTGTTTTGGACTAAAAATACAGGACAATGTTCTTATCCATACATAATGAGAATTAAGATTAAGACATTGTATCCTCATGGATCGGTTTGGAGTCTTTATTGATATGCTTGGTACATTTTCATTTTGTATGACTTCAAATGACACAACTCGAACTATAATAATGATATAAGTAAACAGAAAACACATACATACAACTTTACCATTCTTTATAGCTTCATTTTGCTGATTTCCAGGTTCATTTGTACTCCAGTAAAGCATTTGAGTATAAGGATGAAACCAAAAGAACCGCTGATGCTTGCTTTCCTTTCTTAATCTATGGCGTGTGTACTTCCACATCCAATCACCCACCATTGTACGAGTAAAGACTTGATGTCTTTCGATACTCTTGTCATCTTTACATGTGCATAAAGGGTCGGCAGTCGAAATGGTGTCTGTGGAAGAATAGACGCATTTGATCAATGCAGTAGAACTGTTGCACAAGTCTAAATCCGGAGAAAGTTTGATATCAATTGTTTCTTGACCATCCGAATCGTATACAAATGAAGGGGACATCAGCTTGCCTTGAGAACACGATGGATGCCGCTCAGAACGATTGCATGGTTGTATATCCGTCAATGTAGAACCTAGGGCGCGACAACTGTTGTTACTGCTGGTACTGCTCAGTACCCGAGTCGAAAGTATCGTGGGAGAAGTGAGACGGTCATGGAGCTCTTTCAATACCATGTCTCTTTCTTCCTGATGAGCTTCTTTAATGATAAACAGCTCATGAGCATGATCTTCTTGTAATCGCCTCCTGTCTAATTGCCACTGCGACTTTAATTTGTCTATTTCTTGAGCCATCTTTCTTTCCCTTTGTTGGGTATCTCTTTGTACATGGTCAAGTCTTGCGGTCAATTCATGAATGATTTCTTGTAATTCTTGATTTTTCAACTCTAGTTGTGATATCTCTTGCCTGTATCTTTCATCAATGTCTGTATCGTGCAAAAAAAAAACATTGAGATTAGAATAAATAAAGAAAGAAGCAAAAAAAAAAAGATTTGCTTTTTAATTTATGATAATTTACTCCTGATGATCTATTAAAGCAGTTACCGTGGATTCTCAGGGTCATTTATACATGTATTAAATATCACATTCAATATGACTAATAGACAATACTGCATTGAGATCAAAGCCAGCCCCCTCTTTCTCTCTCTTTTTTTTTTT